GAAGGGGACTGTACTTGATGAGGGGACTAGACTCGATGACCTCTCGAGGTCCCTTCCAGTCCTAGTATTCTAGGATTCAGCCGAAAGGACCTTGCCCTTCTAAAAGGCAGGATATGGTGGTGCTAAGGTCAAGGGTTTAGTCTCAGAGACTCGTCTCACTGACATCACCGCTACCATGCTCAGACTAGGGATGTAAGCGACTAGTCGACTCTCCGATAAACAAAAGCTTACCAGATAGGCCACTAGTCCCTCAACTAGTCACTCCCCATCCCCCACCTTTGCTGCCCCATCAGAGGCAGTAAGGGTGGGAGCAGAAGCTGAAGCTGTGGGGAGCCAGTTTAAAAGCCAGTTCCCCCCAGTACCATTTCCACGGGGAGCAAGGGAGTAGCAGGGACTAGGTGTGAGCTGATCAGCTGATTCCCAGCTCACGCCCAATCCCAGATGCTGCACCTCTACTTTTAAAATGTATTACAAGCCTGCCAGCTTTTAATACATCTCAAAATCAGAAGCACAGCAGAGGGGAGGGTCCTAGCACACGCCAGGACAGTTGATTCCTGGCTTACTCTGGGTCCCCCCCCTCCTGCGCTTTAGCCTTTTAAATGTATTAAGAACCAACAGGCTCCTCTGGGAGCCACAAAACCCCAGTCTGGAGACCCTCCGAAGTGTGCACCTCAGTCGAGGTCTGAAGCGTCCAATCCCAGCTCGACGGAGCAAGGGGGGTTGTTGAACAGAACTTCTTCTGGAATGGGTCCAACACTACAAGGAGGTAAGTATGCACCTGGACTGGGAATAAGCCAATGCCAGCCGATAATGGGGCCACATGCAGAGTGGACAACATGTTCATGCTTCCACCTGGCCTACCAGAGGCAGGCAAACCCTGGCCACCATCAGGGGAAACGTGGATACCTCCACAATGAGGTCAGGGTCTGAAATCTGCATAGCAGCAGGAACACTTTCGCAGGGTTGAGTTGAACACTGCTCCAATGAATTCTATCCTTTGTACCGGAACTAACGTGGACTTTTTGTCACTGACCAGTAGGCCCAGAGAGTGGCACATGGATCGCAAAGCCACAATGTCTCATTCAACTGGAGTCTTGCTGGGGCCTTTTGCCACCCAGCAATCGAGGTACAGGTAAATCTGGATTCCCCGGCATCTCAGGTTAGCAGCCACCACCGCCATGCACTTAGTAAACACCCTCAGTATTTTGGCTTGGCCAAATGGGAGTCCTACAAACTGGTAGTGGGCAGAATCTACCATAAATTGGAGGAAACATCTGTGACCTAGGAAGATTGCTACATGAAAGGATGTGTCCTTCAAGTTAAGGTCAGCACACCAGTCTCCTGGATGTAGGGAGGGAATAATGGGAGGCTGAGGGCATCATGCAGAACTCGTTTCTTTAAGTACCTGTTGTGGTCTCCCAGGTCTAGGATGGGACATGACCATGCTTGGCCTTTGAGATTTAAAAAAAAAAAATGTACATAAAGAATAGAACCCTCTGTTCCTGTATGCAAGAGGAACCTCCTCCACCGTACCCAGTAACCTCTGAACCTCCTGCACAAGACGACTTTCGTGAGAAGGGTTCCTGCACAGGAATGGGGAAGGGATGGAAAGAAACTGGAAGGTATTACCCTGCACCACAGTGTTCAGAGTCCAGCAGTCCAAGGTCATAGCTGTCCACACAGGAAGAACGGTATTTGGGGAGGGGGGAAAAACCAAGAAGAATTGCGTACTGGGAACATCCTAGTAGGTCCTCAAGTGCACCCTCAAAACTATTTGGAGTGGGCTGAGCCCAACTGGGCAGAGGGAGGGGATGAATGGCTAAGGCAGTGCCTGAAAGCCTTAGCATTCTTGTGAGGTGGATCCTGCTGGAACAGGTGTCTTTGCCTCTGAGACAGCTGTGGTTTCAATGACCCATACCTGGGATGTACAGCCTCAGGGCTTTCAGGGTGGTATGGGAGTCCTTCAACCCATGCAGCTTGCTGTCCGTCTGCTCCACAAAAGGTAGACCAGCTCCTTGTCTCAATTATGAGACATCTATAGACTTCCTATCGCTCTCTCTGCTTGTACCATGAGGCCCTCTACCTGGACAATAAAGCAACTACACCTTCTTCTCCCTCCAATAAGGCACCTGACTCAGGATGTGAGATGACAAACAAACATAAAATATTGTTGTTACCCCAAAAGGACAAAGAGTGGGAGGAGGAAACAGAAATATGAAGGGACTTGACTAAGATCCCACACGTGGTCAGTAGCAGATCTGAGAACAGAACTCGCAGTTCCTGACTCCAGCCCAGTGCCAAAAGCCATTCAATCACACTCTTCCATAACTTTGAGATGTTGTTCCTTCTTCTTCTCATAGCCCATAAAGAAAGAGCTCTAGAAGCATGGTGAAAAGCTTCTCTCTCCTTGCAACCAGGAGTCTACAGATTAAGTCCCGAAACCTGCTGAAGGATTATGTAACTTTCTTGGCGAAAACTCAATTTTTCAGGGAGTTGCATGAGGAGTTACAGGAGGCAGCAAAAAACATGAATGCAGTGAATCCAGCCACTAGTACAAGATGCTCTCGTACTGGATTGTTAAGAAATCATTTACTGTCAAAAAGACTGACAGAGCAGCGAGTGTCAATTTGCTATGTTGTCCCATTCTCTTTCAGGGTCACAAGTATATGGGAATTTTTAAATTCTTACATTGTCTTCCTGGTTCTGGCATGGATTTTTCCTTATGTGGCCTTTGTCAAGTCACTTAACATCTTTGCACCTCAGAGTCATGATTTTTAAGACAGGAATCCTATTTATAATAACCACAGGTGACTGGGGAGATGGATTAATTATTATGAAGGTCAAATGTTCCATCAGTGTAAAGAATACAGGCCAAGGTATTCAGATATAACTAGTGATTTTTAGTGGCTTGCTATTCAGATGCTGAACTTATGACCATTCAAATTCATGATTTTCACTTTCTGAAAGTTAGGTGTCTCTTACAATAGCTTAAGAAGAGTATCCAAAATTACTAGTCATCTTTGACATCTTGGCCATAATGGAGAAAGCCTCTTACCTCTATTCTGGATTTATGCTCCCAAGTTCATTTTCTCCTTAACCACCAGTCTACTTCCTGTTTGATCTCAGAGAAGCTTACTAGCTCTCTGTTTAGGAGAGAACCTTCCAAGCTCCCTTGATCATAAAAGGAAAGGATAAAAGGATTTGTAAGCACTCTTTTCTGGAACATTACTCTCATCTGATGAGCAAGCGCTGATTGCCTTGTTACAAAGGTTCACATCTGTTTTGAGTTCTATACCCAAGATATTCTCTGTGATACCTGCATTTTTACCAGTCTGCCCCCAGACTGACTTTGTACATTTTTTGTTTTGTTTTGTAAGACTAAAGGAGTATCTCCTTCAGTTTAAGCACAAGATTGACCCACATTAAAAAAAAAAAAACTCGAAATACTTCAGATCTGATGCTGAACATTCTCCAAACTTTATACAAGTATTTTATTTTTAAAATTTGCCATTGGTGGCAATTGTACCAGGAGTGATGCATGGAGGAGAGGAGTGAAAGAGGCTGGGGAATCTTTCAATAAGCATGCAGACTAGGGATGTTTAGACGCATGTAGTTCATTAATCATGTAGTCAACTACCCTCACTGTGGCTCTGCATTTCAAGCCCTTTAAGTGCTGGCAGGCAGAGCACCTGCTTATCGGTTAATCATTTCATCGACTACACTATTACATCCCTAATACAGGCACCGTTCCTTCATTGCAACAACAGAAAATGCAGGGTAAAGCCAAGTTAAGATACTAATCATAACTCCAAAGCTGTGCCAATATCACTAAAGACCTTTTAGTTTGAGGGAAGAGGAAAAGATGAGAGAGAAAAAATACATGCATGTCTTGAACAGAAAACAAGGGCAGTAATCAATAAAAATGACACTTTATTCTTCTACGGAATTTTAGCCAAAGGACTTCAGAAACACTATGTAAGCACTAAGACCCAGTTACTGAAGCATAATACAGGAACCATATTTTTGTTCTGTGTACAGTACTAAGCGTACTAAGCGCTCCTAGGTATTTTAGTAACAAAAATGATCCCTTATAGACAAAGACACACCAGTCTTAAGGAACTAGCATGAAGTTAATTGCCTCCCAGAGATAAGACCTGAACTACTGACTTCCAGGCTATACTTCACGCCATTAGCCAAAAGACCCCTCTTTTCAAAAAATAAATCCTGAAAGTGCTGTATTTTCATTTAAGAAAAAGAGCTATTTATTAATATTTAAGAAAACTGGTCTTATAATTCACTATTTTAAAACCGGCCTAGTTTTTAAGACATACTAGGCCCTGAACCTTTTTCAACAGCTCCTCACAGCAGGGTATCTCCAGTTAGTGTATCTGTTGCCGTTTGTTCCTACTGTTATTTCTCAATAAAGTACATACTACACAACAGCTATGGCTGGGACATTCTAAAAGCATGTTATTGAAATCTGACACACATGCGCTTTTGTTCTCCCATAGCAGATGCACGTCTGCTAGCTTTTCTTTATTTCATCGCAAAAACAGATTGTGTCGTGCTGGTTTACTTATAAAGGACTTTAATCAACTTCCAAACATTATTTCTAAGTCTCCTCACATAATGTAGCATAGAGCTGAAGGGATTACACTGTCACTAAATGGATAATGTTGTGGTTTTCACTAAAAACTGTCACCTGGGCTCACCATGGGCACAAGAGTAGCAAACCACAATGGCAACCCCAGAGAGTTTTTTTTTATTGCTATTAAAATTACAAATAGCTAATGTCCCTCAAGTTAACTCTTAAGTCTTATTTAGATCTAGTCCTCAACAGGGTGGGTTTGTAAAATGTCTGCTAATATAATATTCTACTTCCTCGATCAGGTTTTTAAGAGAGTAATCTATTGTACTCTTAATATAAGGAATTGAGTAACATACATAAACTAATGCATGGCTTGCTTTCATTTGAGAATCTTAGCAATTTACTACAGATTTTTCAAATCTACTAAGAAATTTCAGTTCAAAAATAGATTGTAATGCTCAACAAATCACTGTCAAAGGCTGAGAGATATAGATGCTAGAATCCTGTAGATTATAAACCTTTTGTAGGACTTTCCAATGTCCTTTTGGGTCCTTTGTGGAAAAAAATAAAATACTTTCCTTTCTTGCTGGTTCATATTTTAAACCTTGAGTTTATTTCCACATTGTAAATTTTGGGTAGATGTCTAGCTATATTGGAGATCAGGTTACCGTGCAAAGGAGAAGAGATAAAGAATGATCCGCAGAGTTCCATCTGGTCCTAGAGAACAAAGCCTATTGACTTGAAACATGAGTAGCCCCTCACATACCTAATCTGCACAACCCATACTAGCAAGTGTCAGTGAAACATATTAGCTAGGGAAGCGAATATTAAACCAAGGAATACTTCTAATCAGCCGAAAATTTTACTTTCAGGGTAGTTAAAAAACATCACCCTCGTGAGTATCTCCACGATTAAATAATTAGCAAGTTAGGGAAAATGGTCAAGTTCACAGTTTAAATCAGCTGGCCTTTCCCTCAATTTTTTCTTCTTATAATAAAGTATTTAATATAACTGCACACAAGTTTATACCTTACAATCAATCCCCGGCTATCTACAGGCCACCATCCGATGTGTGACAGACTTTTGAATACAAGAGTTTTTCAAGTCCGATATATTAAACGCCAGTTCACAGTACATTACATGTAAAATGATAAATCATGCTCACACAGAATGCTCCAGAGCAACCAGAGGGGTAACCCATTAAAATTCTCCTCTCACATGAGCAAGTCCAATGATATCTAATGATATCTACTGATATGAGTAGGCATTTGTGGGAACACATTCAAAACTTTTTGAGCAGTACGGTAGCATTAAACATAGTTCACAAAATGGTTAAAATCACAACATTTTTTCTCATGAAAAAACACACGCTTAACTCTTTTCTTCTGGCACATTAAATTTTCAATACCTCTAGGAAGATTTTATTTGGGTAAATCAACACTAAAGGTACATTTTAGCCTGTAAGCATATTAGGCCTTGCCTCTTTTGAGTATTTTTGGTTGCTGTTTTCATCTATTTCATAGGCTTTTTAGAACAAGAAATGATCAGTAAAAAGCATTTCCATGTCAAACATTTTTAAGTGGAACTGTTAAAACAAGAGAATCGGTTTTGAAACCACCTCATTTATTTGTTATCTCGATTCAACTGATGTAAAAATAATTGTCTGTAGGGGCCAAACTAAAGACAATGTTAAAGCACTTTAGCACTTTCCCTAAAATTGTTTCCATGCCATTTCCATCAGGCTGCTGCGGCAGATGTTGGCTGTTAAAGTGTGCAGACGACACAGTTCATGACTTTTCCGAGACGGCTGTGTGCCACATCTGTAGTTGATGAAATAGAGTGCAGAAGTGTGGCAGACAGAGAAAGAAAGTGTGAGAGACACAGACACAGGCTGGGCCAAATGAATGGTCTTCAACAGAGGGACTAAAAATAGACACACACTCACGCTTATACAATCTCTTCCTCCAACCTTATAAAGCCTCATCTGTCTATCCTATTATGGAGTCCGCCTATCAGAGGAACTTCCTGAATAGAACTTCAGCTGTGGAGAAAATGAGAGCATCCAGGAAGCAATGAGTTCACATTGAGGAAGCAAACTGCAGCAGCATTCTCAAACTGAAGCATCTCTCTTAGATCCTCATTAACTGGGCTGTAATCCAAGTTCATCTGGGCCCCAGAGAAAGGCAATGCTTGTGTTTAGACCGCACAATACTGACATAACATTAACAGATTTACATATGCAAAACTGTGAAGCAACAGGCATTCCCCCTCAATTGACCCACAGCTTGTAGTGGCTGCCGAGTTGTTCCCTGCTTAGGTTCTGTAACCAAGTGGGCGTCATGCGACTACCATCTGGGTACCACTTATTTAAAGCTGGCAGTCTTTCTGTAATAGGCAAGCTGGCAATAAGTGGGAAGGGAATAAATTGCATCATTTAGTTAACATCCACTTGCTTTGCGGCTGTTAAAAACCCATGACTGAATAATAATTTGGTTATTTCTTTTGCCAGACAATGCTGTCAGCCAGATTCTACTACGCATGCTGCAAAAACGTCAGCTTGCAAAATTTCTACTTCAAAAATAAATTGAAGAAATTTAGAGTGTAATGTGAGCTTGGAAGTTTCTCTAATGTTGGTCATTCAAATGCAATCAAGTTTTAGAAATAAAAATTTGTGCTAACCAATGGTAGCTAGGTAAAAACCAAAAGTCCCCCCCCCCCACATACACACCACACACCACCACCACCTCAGTTAGCCACCCAGCCTAAGTCACTAAACAAATCAAACAATGGCAACCAGTAATAAGGTGAGGAACTATGATCTGTTTATGGGAATGTTTGTTCAGAGGCTAACATTTTTCAGTTTCATGCTACTCACTGCCCTTCTCATCCAATGCTTTAATTCTTAGATTTTATCATTTCCTTCTGTCTAACACAACCGCTGCTTTCACGCACATGTATCAAAGAGAGCGGCTGAAACCATAGACCACTGCAATAGCATTCGAACCTATGCTTTGTAAAAACCAAAGCTTCTGAAGTGGGTTTCTCTTTGGGACTCTTTAGTTTTCAGAAATTAAGTTTCCAATAGTCATCAATCCTTCCCTCCACCCCCCTTTTCATAGAAATATAAGCTGTTTGCACACACATCTTGACACGAAACTTCTTCCAAGACTACAAGGAAAAGCCCATGCTGGGTCTGTTATCCTTTTGTATTATGAAAGTGTAACAAGGGTATGCATTATGAACTGTGGAGTAACATTTGCAGCTAGATTGATGGCGAAGAAGAGCCAAGAACCCAGTCTGAGGGTTAGAGTCCACTGAACACAGGATACAAGTTCCTGAGATTCTACAGGGCCAGACTTATCCTTCTTTATTCCATTTTGAAAGCAAGTGCAGACTAGGAATGTAAAATTCCATTTAATCAGTTAACTGGTTAAACAGTCAGCTAGCCCAGCTACAGCAGCTCTCTGCTGGCCATGATGCTTACCAGGTAACTGGTTACCCATTCACATCCCTTGTGCAGAAATAATTTAAGATAACTAATGGGAAATGGGAAACAAATTCATGAAGAACTTGCTCCAACTAT